TGTTTAAAGAATAAAGCAGAGAAATGTACCACAGCCTATTTCCTGTTAGGCGGCTCGGCTGGCTACCTTCCCAAATTTTTATTACTAAACATAGCTGTAGAAAAATTAGTTCAAATGCTTCCTCAATCCCAGCTATGTCACACCCTCCTTAATTGAGGGGTCAAAGGGAAACATGAGAACTATAGATCAAAAAAGGAGAAACAGGAGTTAAGGAGAATATAATAATTTATAAGTAAAGAAACAAAATCTGGAATTTATTTTGCTTATTACAGTTAACTAAAGGTATCAGACAACTCAAGACAAAGTAATTCCCTAGTCTAATTTAAACTAGACTTAGCATATAAACTAGACTTAGCATATAAACAAAAGTGAAAAAAAAAAAGACTTAAATTTACAGCCATTAAAGTTATTGGAGAGAACTATTGTATGCTCTGCCCCCAAATAATCATATTTAAGAAAATTAATTATAACGAAGTTCTAATCCAAGTCCATGGCTGAAGAAACTGAAAAGTACATTACAGAAAGCCAAGAAAACATAAGGGAAACCCAGTATTCTAGCATAGATTTAAACTGTTTGAACATTAATATCTTACGGGTTTATTACTGAGAAAGCAACTGATCTCTTACATGATTTGACCTGGGTTATGAAACTGATCAAACTAAGTGAGCTCATGTACATACATAATATATATGTTACACATATGCATATATATTTGCTAATTGTTTTAATGATTAAATTCAGTCAATCTACTTTATCCAAATGAGAGAACCTCAGAAACAGAAGCTAGAATAGCTTCAGGTTTTCTGAAGAAGTGGATGACTAATAAAAATGCACATTGTAAAGCTGATAGCCAAAATAAAGTATTTGAAGAAAATGTATCTGAATAACTGGGCAACTTCATAAAATATAAGATATAATAAATAAAATTACTTTTCATGACTTAAAATATACCTGAAGTTGTAATAGTATCATATCACTGGAAGACTGGTAACAATCAATACCAGATTTTGGCCTTTCTACATTACAACTGTTCAATAACTATGAAATTAAACTCAGTTGCAAAACCAACAAAAATGTGTAATTTGGCTACTTTTACACTCAAAGAGAACCATTAAAAGCTGCTGTCAATAGCAGAGCATGTGTGTACTCCCAGCACTAATACAATACTTTCTAAGAATGTGTGCAGTATTAGAAAGAAGTTTTAGTTTCAAAGACAAAAAGAAATAGTTACCTAGATAGCCATTCTGCCTGAAAAAGGAATCCACCCAAGTACTCTGTGTTCTGGAGTAAATGTCAGGGACAAACACTGCCTTATCCTGTCTCCCACCAACCACAGTGCCTCGTAAACGTCCACTATTAACGAGTTCCTCAAGTACAGCTTCAAACAAAACCAAACAAATACAAATAAATTAGAGCAGGTATAAATGTCAAAAAGTAAAATACTATTTCACAATTTAGTTATTCTTACCCTTTAAAAAAGCAATTTAAAGTTTAAATTGCATAAATGAAGACGTTATACTTTAGGCAAAACTTTCCTGCCATTTATGAGAATATTCAGGTCACAAATTTAGGAAATTCTGGCAACTAGCTAAAAGTGCTGAACCTGTAACTGGTTAACATTAACATTTAATAGTTTAGTTAGAGTAATTTGGGGAAAAAAAACCTTGCCATTATTTATTTTATGATATGTTTGAAAGTGGATGACTAAACACTTGGAGAATAGATAATACGCAATCAGTAAGTGTTTCCAAGTTCAAGTTTCTCATATTTAGAAAACTTAAGACACCTGGATCACATTAGAGTCAATTGTGTGAAATAAAGCCATGAAAGTTTTTAAAAGTTATTATATTTCTACTGTTTTTTTATGTTATTACATTTCTACTGTTCAAATTGCAGCACATGAAAGAGAAGTATAATGCTGTGGTTAAGAGGATGGATCTGGATCTAGACACCCTTTATGTCCAAATCTCAACTCTGTCACCTACTTGCTGACAAAAACTGGGCAAGTCATTTTACTTATGCTTCCACTTTCTCAGCCATGTAATAGGGGTAATAGTAAGTGTCTCCAAGAATTGTGGTATTCAAGTAAATTGCTCGGAACAGTAGCTGGCATATAATAAGCACTCAGCAAATGTTAACTAAATATCACCACCACCACCACCAGCATCATCATTAATCACTATCATCATCATCAAAAGACTGATGCCAGTCTGAGAACTGGATAGTACTGCCGTTAACATAAAATATATGCTTTTTATTTAAACCATAACATTTAACTAAACATTTTATTGTTTAAATATCAAAATCCCCTGAAAAAGACAAAGCAGATAGGAAGGAGTTATTTCTAAGCAAATCAGAAAGCACAGTCAAAAGATGACTGGCAAAGAAACATTTATGAAAATTAGTCTTTATCACAAATAAAAATTAGCTTGCAAGATTTCGCTGCTGAGTAAATTAGGATACATTAGAAAAGTCTAGATTTTTCAACAGACTGCAACACATAATTTTAAATTTTGTGGCTGTACAACATAAATCCATGCTAAATTAAGATAAAAGTTATCAAGTTATCAATTACTTGAAGAACTTTACATGAAATCCCACCAATCTCCAATTAGTAGATTCCAATATATGTTACATTTTTAATTTTAAATTTATTAAACAAAAAATCCAAATTTAACTGCATATTTTGAAAAATACAGTGAATTAAAACGAACTTTTGGTTTTATACATGAATTTCTTTTCCAGCCTTCATTTTAATTCTATTTGCACAGATATCTGAGCCAAAAGATTAAGTCATTGTTTTTATTTATTTATTTTTAAAAGATTTTATTTATTTATTTGAGAGAGAGAGCACAAGAGGGGGAAGGGTCAGAGGGAGAAGCAGATTCCCTGCCGAGCAGGGAGCCCGATGTGCGACTCAGTCCCAGGACTCGGGGATCATGACCTGAGCCGAAGGCAGTCGCTTAACCAACTGAGCCACCCAGGCGCCCTAAGTCATTGTTTTTAAAAATTATTCCAGCAAGACTTTAAAAAACCCCTCAAAACCTGGTAAGAGCTTCACAAACACACACATAACATAGGTTATGAACCAAGATTATTTTGGAGATATTACAATGCTGTTTGAATGCTAAAAACATATTTTTACTAGTATTATCCTCTTCGTAAAATTTTATTTCTTAAAATATTTTATTTATTTATTTATTAATTAAGTAAGCTCTACGCTCAATGTGGGGCTTGAACTCATGACCCTGAAATCAAGAGTCGCATGCTCCACTGACTGAGCCAGGCTGGCACCTCTAAAAATTTTTTAGACAAACACTGTTTACTTTCATGTTAGAAAATGTAGCAAGAATCTGTAAGAAACAAAGTGAAAATTATTCTTTAATCCTACAATTTTAAATCTCTCTCTATAAATATATATGCATAACGGTATTTTACAGACACACACAGTTTGTTTTTCATTCTACTCCTTTGGGGGTAGCCAACACTAAATGTTTGGTGGATATAACAGATAGATATATACATGAAAATTGGTATAGGGAAACCTTTCAACTAGAAATATTTTAGTTATGTAAGTTTTAAGGTTAAAAGAAGTCAAAACATGAAAAATTAGTAAGTTTCACATTAATAGTCTATTCAGCAGCTAATTAAGTGACATATAATTTAAAGCAAACTCACAGTAAAGCAGCTGCTCTTGAAATCCATATTTTGAAATGAGAGAATTTACTGCTGTAGGCCTTTATGGAAAGAAATAAAAAGATCTTACTCATTCTAGAATTACACATATTTATGAATTATAAAAATAACTAGGATAACTAGTTTATGAAAAACACCATTTAAAAGAAAAAAAATGAAGGCAAAAATAATACCAGATTTTACATCCTTAATCAGAATTACACTACTGAAATTCCAGGGGAATTGATTTGTATCCACAATCCAGGAACAATTCACTTTCTCACCAATTTCCACCTCAGATTTAATGATACCTGATCTGCTTTTATTTTATGTTCGTTTTTCTTCATTCTATTCTTTCTCTCTGGGAGGCTCTTTCTCCACCTAAGAAGAGTCAAGTGAATGTTATCTGATTCTGTTTTTGAAGAAAAGTGAAATCACACATGTAGTGAAAGGAATCTGGAACGATATATTCCCAGATTAGGTAGATGACTGGGAGGGATCCACTTAAAATGCTCCTTTTTGTTTAGCACTATTTTCTGTAATGACTGTGTTTCTTAAAAAAAAAAAAAAAAAAAAAAAGCTCTAATGAGGTATAATTTACATACAATTCAAGCATCTTAATAAATTTATAAAGTTGAGGAACCATCACTATAGCTCTCAAGTCTAGAATGTTTCCATCACCTAAAAAATTCCTTCACAGATGTTTGTAGTTAATTCCTGCTTCCATCCCTTGTCCTAGAGAACCACTGATCTGCTTTCTGCCTCTATAAATTTGCCTTTCTAGAAATTTCATATAAATAGAATCAATATATGTCTCTTATGTCTGGCTTTTTTCACTTAGCATCATTTTGAGGTTCATGCATGATGAAGCATGAATCGGTATTTACTCCTTTCTATTGCTGAATAGCATTTCACTGTATGGAGATACCACATTTTTTATTCATTCATCACTTGATGAACATTTGGACTGTTTCCAGTTTGGGGCTATTATAAATAATGCTGCATGAACATTTGTGTACATGTCTTTGTGTGGACATATCTCTTTATCTCTTTTGGGTAGATCCCTGTGAATGCTTTTCTAATTATCTTTTTTTTTTTTAAGTAAGGGAAATTATAAAGAAAACACAGACTTTCTTTTTATGACTATATATTTTTTCCCTATTCATTTTAAGCCAATTATGCCTGTTTTCTGGTTTGGGTTTAGTCTATGTTTCTATTTTTATGCATATACCTAAGAGACTTTTAAGTTATTCCAAGTACTCAATTCTCTGTCGATTATTTAAGATGTTATGAATTTTCTCTATGACAAACTTGGGAGAGCAGAAACATTTGTCTTAATATGAATTGATATTTAAAACACCTGTGTTTGGGAATTTTGGCTAAATTATTATTTTCAATTAGCAATAATCGCGCCTCGGACAAACCTCATTGGCTACGATACTGCCATTGCGCAAATTATTATTTTTATCAAATTCTAATGTAGATTTTTTTTTTATTAAATTAATTTATCCTAGTGTTTCAGCTAAATTATCTAGAGCCCCCAAACCAATAAGGTCCATTTAAGTGCTTGGTGAAGTTTGCTCTCTGTTTATCTTATAATTATTACAATCTTCTCAAGTTCTATTTTTTGTTTTCTGTTCCCTTCTACCTGAACACATTTTTGAAGGACTTTATCGTAAAATTTCTGCGTGCATAACTTAATTTGGGTTTTCAGTAAATATTTAATTGAACTGCACAAAATTTCTAGCTTTTTTTTGTATAATAAAACTTAGCTGTTGAATTTTATTTCAATTTGGAATACAATGTAGTTTAGTATACCTATATATCTCACTGTTCTATTTCCTGATCTTCTTTTTGGCTACCTATAACAACAATATAAACCCTTTTAAAATCAGAGATGCAGGTGTTTTCTCTGAAGTTAGACCAGAAAAGTGGGGGCTGGGGGGTTCCTTATATTTAAGAGACAAATATGATGATATGGTACATTAAATGAAACTATCTGGGAGTCACACAGCCTAGCAACATCTTTTGAGGCTCAGAATTTGTTTTGCCCTCATGCTTTTTTTTTTTTTTTTTACAGTATTGCTATTTTATGCTAAATTAGGTGCTGAGCATATGCATAGTACCTCTACACAGAGAAACTGAGGGCTACTGTGAGTCAGAAAAAATATTATTTGCCGAACCTGATGATAACTACACTCACCGCAATAGTCAAAGAAAAAAAACTGTCAATAGAAAAACATATTTTGTTTTTATTTTTTGACCAAGTAATAAAAATGCAAAAAATACAAAATATAGTACAAAAAGTACAAAAAAAAAAAACAAATAAAAATACAAAAAAGGTACAAAACTGAATCCCCCTTCATTCTTATCACTCAGTTACCCAGTTCTCCCAGAAACAACAACTGCTAACCAGTTTCTTGTGTTAGGAGGGTGCAGGCTGTCAGAGCCAATGTGGAGAAAGGAGGGCATTCACATGGGAAAGAGAGCTGCAGCAGCAACGGGAAACCAGTTACATAAAGGGGAATCACTCAAATAAGTAAATTTAACTGACCCTTGAACAACGTGGATTTGAATTGCACGGGTCCACTTTACATGAGTTTTTTTTAACGATTTATTTATTCGTTTGAGAGAAAGAGTGAGAGAGCACATGAGCACAGGCTAGAGGGGCAGAGGGAGAGGGAGAGAAAGTCCAAGCTGACTCGTGCCAAGCGTGGAGCCTGACACGGGGCTCAGTCTCAGGACCCTGAGATCACGACCTGAGCTGAAACCAAGAGTAGGATGCTTAACCAACTGTGCCACTTAGGCCCCCCATACGTAGATATTTAAAATATATATATAGTACAGCACTGTAAATGTATTTTCTCTTTCTTATGATAATCTTGGTTTTTTTTTAAAGATTTATTTATTTGAGAGAGAGAGAGAGAGCACAAGTGGGGAGGATGAGCAGAGGGAGAGGGAGAAGCAGACTCCCTGCTGAGAGGGAGCCCAGCGCACGGCTGGATCCCAGGACCCCAGGATCATGACCTGAACAGACGCTTAACTGACTGAGCCACCCAGGCACCCCATCTTTCTTATGATATTCTTAATATTTTCTTTTCTCTAGCTTACTTCATTTTAAGGAAATGGTATAGAATTCATATAACATGCAAAAGATGCGTGTTACTCGATTATTTGTCACTGGTAAGGCTTCTGGTAAACAGTAGGCTGTTAGTAGTTAAATTTTGCGGGAGTCAAAAGTTATTTTCAGATTTTCAACTGCGGTGTGGGGGTTGGTACCCCAACCTCTGTGTTGTTCAAGGGTCAACAGTATATTAAGGATAATGGGAACTAGGTTTCTCAGGGTCAGAGAAGGGAGCTGCAAATATGGAAAAGGAGAAAACTAGGACAAAACTAACTGGGCGCTTGGATGGGAACTGGAAGTATCAAGTGTGAACTCATGGTTTTTGATAAACATAAAAATACAAAAATATAGATAAAAAGGGGGGTGGATACACATGTGTCTGTGTATCCCCTAACTTGTCTGCTGAGAGGCTTGGGAGCAGTGATGACCAAACAGCAATAAGCAATTTAAGTGTCCAGATCTTGGTTTCTAAATAGTATACTCGACTAAAAAGAACCAGGCAGGGTTCCTTGGGGAAATGGCTGATTCCAGGTTTGGGAGAAGAAAGTATAAACTGAGCTTACAACTTCTTGTACCAGAAAGAAGAGAAGTGCTCCAAGAATGATGGGGTCATATTGAAAGGACACAGAAACCAGCCTGAAGGGTGGGCCAATAGCTAAATCAAAGCCAATTTAAAAATATCTAAATAATGATAATAATAGATTTTAATCCAATGGCTAGAGAGCCATGAGTCCATACTGATTTAAATAAATGAATAAACTGAAAGTTTGATATAAAACAGGGTAACTTATAAGATCTCAAATTGCCCTCCCCACAAATACTTAATTATAAAGGAAAAACAAGTAGCTTTATGACAAGCCTAACAGATACCTCCTTATTAAGAAGTTATAATGCACACCATCAGTAACTAGAAAATCTAAACTGTATACCCCTGCTAGGATTCAATGACAAGAACACAGAATCACTTTGGTTACATTCCTGTCAAAGATGCATAACCTGAACATCAGCATGAAAAAACAGCAGACAAGCAAAATTGAACATTTTACAAAATAACTGGCCTGTGGTATTCAGAAGTGTCAAGGTCATGAAAGTAAAAAAAGACCAAGTAAGTGTTCCAGATTGAAGGTGACTGAGGAGACATGACAATTAAATGCAATATGTGATTCTGAACTGGGCCCTTTTACAGTAAAGGACATTACTGGAAAACTGGTAAAACATGAATGAGATCTGAAGACTAGATGGCAGGAATACATCAATGTCAATATTTTGACATTTGTATTATAGTTATGTGATTATATAGGACAATGCCCTTGTTTGTAGGATACAGACTAATGTATCTGTGGTGATGGGATACTATGTTAGGAACTTCCTCTCAAATGGACAGAAAAAAAAGGTTCTCTTGCAATTTTTCTGTAATTGTGAGATGATTTAAAAAAAAAAAAAAAAGGAAAAAAAATGGTTGCACTAAATAGCAAGCTTTCTCCTCTAACCTAGTCTTTTGTACCAGTGCCTTGCATGTATTAGATGCTCAATAAATGCTTCTGATTTGCTGAATGACAAAAAGAAACTGCTGTGGCTACCATGTAAAACAATGTTCCAGAAGGTAGTAAGAGTAAAAGAAGGGAGACTGGTTAGAAAGCTACTAAAATAGTCTAGTTAAAAAATGGACTGAAGTGGGGTGAATGGTCATGCCACACAAAGATTACATAAATATTTAGAATACAGAATTCAAAAGCCTTTGTGTTCTGAAAAAGGGGATAGTGAAAGAAAGGATGGTGTAAAGGATGACTCCCAGGACTCTGGCAAAACCAACTGGATTAATAACATTTACTAGTAAAATGGAAACACAAGTGGAAGAATAAATTCAGGTGGGGTAGGGTGGGGTAGCTCAGGGACAGTGAGTTATTTTAAATATGTTGAATTAGAGGGACTTGTAAAACATTTCAGTAGGGATGCTGTGTGGGCAATAGGATTCTGAAATTTAAAAGAAAGGTAAAGTCACCTAGGAAGACAGTGCCAGACTAAGAAGAAAAGATGGCCTGAAAGAAAACTGTAAAGGCTAGGGAAAGGAGGAAAAGCCGGAAAAGGTGACTTATAAGGTACAGCCAAAGGAGGTAAAAAGAAAGCAGTAAAATGTGATGTTTAAAAAAAAAAAAAAAAAAAGGAACGAGAACATTTCAAGAAGGAAGATGTAACTGGAGTTAAATGCTGCTGCTGCCAAGTCAAGTAAAACAAGGTCAGAAAGTATCCATTAGAGTTCATGATACTGACATCATTACCTTGTAAGCTGGTAGAAGCCAGATGGGTGAGTTGAGAAGTGACAGAAGGTAGGAAAACTAAGACAGTAAATGCAGACATCAACTCTTGAGATGGTTTACTTTAAGGAAAGGGACGAACAAGGTGGCAGATAGAGTGGAATATGGGGTTGAGAGAGGTTTGATTGTTTTAAAATGGGAGAAATCTGGACCCAAAAACCACTGAGATAAAGTTAATGACACAGGAGAGAGGAGATAATTAAGAATGTAGGTTTTCTTAATTCCATATTGGAGTGTCACTCAGGCTCCAAACATTTCAGAAATTCTTACTTTAGAAAAAGTTCAAGTGATTTTGAAATGAATATTGTTATTCATTAGAATTGTAGAATGTCATTTGGTAAAAAGGGTTCTAAAATCATCTAGTCCCATCTGAGGCTCAAAGGAGTTAGGTGACTGGCTTATCTGCTGCAGCTCACATGGTTATTGTGTGATAGAGCTAGGGCCTGAGGACTTCTGACTTTAAATTGCATGCTCCTTCCATGATCCCAGGATGACTTTCTATACTGATTTGAGTGTTCTGTAGACCCGCATCTGGAGTCATGAGGGTGATTAACATGGGGAGTGGAAGGAGATGTGGGTTGGAGAGAGTCTGGCTACATTCTAGGGCTCTGGAATCCCCATTCCCGTTTCACAGAAGCTACCAACCCTTCTATATGTCTAAAAAATTAGGGTCCTGCATGAGATTTTAATTAAAAAAAAAGAAAGAAAGAAAAGGAAAAAAGCTGATAGAAAAATAAAAAGCAAACCATGACCAAAGATATGTAAAAATATACATATTTTAAAACAGGCTTTAAAAAAAATGAAACAGGCTTACCGGGTAATAGCACTGAACAGTCCACGGATGCGTGCTTTATGTCGAGCTACAAAAGCTTTAGTAAATATGACTCCTCTGTTATCAAGATCAATCTGTCCATTAATAATTCTACCTAGTCGCTGAGTTAGTGCCTGGGGTAAAGATGCAAATTTTTATTAATTTGAAAGAATAAAATTATATGTATATAATTGTAGAGTCTTAATAA